CACACGCGCACACGCGCACACGCGCACACGCGCACACGCGCACACGCGCACACGCGCACACGCGCACACGCGCACACGCGCACACGCGCACACGCGCACACTCGCACACACGCATCCACGCATCCACGCATCCACACATCCACACATCCACACATCCACACATCCACACATCCACACATCCACACATCCACACACCCACACATCCACACATCCACACATCCACACATCCACACATCCACACATCCACACATCCACACATCCACACATCCACACATCCACACATCCACACATCCACACATCCACACATCCACACATCCACACATCCACACATCCACACATCCACACATCCACACATCCACACATCCACACATCCACACATCCACACATCCACACACACAACCACACAGCACACACGCACACACGCACGCACGCAACGCACGCAGCACGCATGCACGCACACACGCACACACGCACACACGCACGCACGCACGCACGCACACACGCACGCACACACACACACCCGCACACACACAGACACAGACACAGACACAGACACAGACACAGACACAGACACATTCACACATTCACACATTCACACACACATTCACACATTCACACATTCACACATTCACACATTCACACAATCACACATTCACACATTCACACACACACACACACACACACACACGCACACACGCACACACGCACACACGCACACACGCAAAGACGCACACACGCACACACGCACACACGCACAGCACACACGCACACACGCACACACGCACACACGCACACACGCACACACGCACACACGCTCACACGCACACACGCACACACGCACACACGCACACGCACACACGCACACACGCACACACGCACACACGCACACACGCACACACGCACACACGCACACACACGCACACACGCACACACGCACAGACGCACACACGCACACACGCACACACGCACACACGCACACACGCACAGACGCACACACACACACACACACACACGCACACACGCACACACGCACACACGCATACACGCACACACGCACACACGCACACACGCACACACGCACTCACGTGCACACGCACACACGCACACACGCACAGACGCACGCAGTGCGTTGCTCGCAGCGAGTCACGCACTGAGCGCTGTGCGTGTTGCGAGGCCTTGTGATGCCGCAGCGTATGGTGCCTTGGGGTGAGTGTTGCTTGCAGCGTAGCTTGCAGCGTGTGCAGTTTGCAGCGTTTTGCAGCGAGCGGCGCACTGAGCGCTGTGCATGTAGCGATGTCTTGTGGTGTGAATTGCGGTGCGCGGTGTCCTGGCTTGTACAGCACTGGACGTGCGGCGTGCGGTGCACAGAGGAGCAGTGCAGTGTGTGCTGCGAGCGGGCCGAGGCGGGGTGCGGACGCCCCTCGGGTGAAAGTGAGCAGAAAGGAAAAGCACACGCACACACATACACACAAGAAACACAAAGAAACATACACATACATATATCATGTATCTCTATATATATATATACACGCACTTACACAGATCTACACACGCACGCGCGCACACACACATTTACACACACACTTACGCACATTCACATACACACGTTCACATACGCACACACACACATCTGGGAGACGTGAGTCTCGAGTAAGCCGGACTCGGGTTAGCCGACGTTTTTTGACGAGCGCGTCTTGGATATTGACGGTCCAGTTTTCGTGGGATGTTTGCAGCCGGAGTTTGCGTCAAATTTCAGATTGGGTCTCGTCATTTTCATGATGGCCCCGTCAGGCCAACCCGAGTCCCCTGTGCCCGAGTCTCACGTCTCCACGAACGCACGCACACGCAAACACACATATACACACATAGACACACACACATATACTTGTTAACACATTGAGACACTGACGCGCAATCACACACTTACACACGTTCACACACTTCTACACACTTACACACATACACACACGCGCGACCTGGGAACGAACTCTTTCCTCTTCCTGCCTCGCTCTTCCCGCTCTTCCCATTTCCACCTTCCTGCCCCGCTTCATGCATGCCCACATGTGCTTTAAGGTCGGGGACTGTGGCTCTATCAGGTTTGCAATTTTCGGCCTTTTGGGGCGGTAGCCGCGCCCGGGGACCGTCAAACAGTTATTCAGGATGATAACAGCCAGTCCTAGGGAGCGGGTCGAAATTTCGGGGGGTCCACGTTGAGCAAAAATCATGGCGCCGAGGATCCCGAAGAGGTGTTCCCGGACCTCCGGCGATGCGCTCGCTGATTTTTCTCTCGCGGCGTTTGTGCTCCTCGTTTCGGCACGCTGGGGGGCCGCCTTCGGGCCCTGGGGCCAGCAGGCAGGAACCCATCCGGGACGCAGAACTACCCCCAGGGAAGGTGTCGGGAGCTGTGGGGCCGCGGGTTGAAAGAAGCAGCTCGGAGGACGTCTGGGTTTAGGGCGTTCCAGAGGCGGCCTCGCCTCGCCGTCCATGTCGCGTCGTGTCTGGAGGGCTATGTCTACTTGCTTCAAGAAGGCCAATCTCTCGGGCCTCTGACAAATACAATGCCGCTCTCGCTTTCCAGCCACCAGCGTCTATGGACACACTGGAATTGATAAGTCTATAGGCACATTCGGGGTGGATGCGTCTATAGACTGTGCGGCCGTTGCGTTCACCCAAGCGCAAGATCGTAGAGAGGGTAGATCCGTCTGCGGTATGCTCCTTTTCCACTGCAGGTCCCACATGGTATTCCAACGTCGCGGTAAGATGGCGACGGGAGGTTTTTGTCAGTGGTCGGCCTCCGGGGCGCCCAGGACCGTCAACCCAACGATTCTGGATGACAATTTGCGTAATTCTTAGCCCAGATGGCAAGGCGACAAACGGAGGTTGTAGAAGCGTGACGAAGGATCTGCAGAGGAGCTCTGGAAACTCTGCAAGGGAGCTTCTGGGAACCCACACGGCGCAAACATCGGGAGACAATTCGAAAAGCGTTTCCTGGACACGCTGCGAGGTCAAGCAATTCGCTGCGAGGTGTATTTGCAGACCTCCGGGCAGCTCTCATGGCCTCCCCTGCAAGCCAGTTGTTTTATCTAACAGCCCTACTCGTTTTCCAAGGAGGGAATCCTCCGCCCTCCTCCCTCCCTCCGTGCAGCGCCCCCCTCAGGACGCGCCTGAGCAGCGTTCGCCCCAGGCAGCCCCCATGGCACACAGCTTTGGGGGCCCGCATCCCTGTTTCCCGAGAGGTCCCACAAGTGGTTTAGGCACAGTCTTCGACCCCCAACGGCCTTGTCCTTGTCGTCCTTGTCCTCCCCGTCCTCCCCGTCCACGGGAGGGGGGGGAGCCCTGCTGCAAGCAAAAACGCCGTCGGGCGTCTCGGCTTCGCGGCGCCGCCTCGCCCTCCTCGGCGGCAGGCCGGCGGGAGCCGTGCGGGAAAAAGGCGCGGCGGGCGCGCTGGTGGAAGGCTGGTGGAAGGCGGCCGAGGTAGGAGCCCAGACGTGTTTGGCGCGACCGACGTGGCCGCGGTGGCGCTGACCGTTGGGCACATCCCAGCGGGCACTTCTCTGCGAGTCGGAGATTTGGGCGGGCGCGGTATAATGGCAACGCCGACAACCGTAAAAACGATGATGACAATAGCGATGCTGGTGACGATGTTGACAACAACGAAGGCACGGCCAGTGCGGGCGCCGATGTTGTCACGCCGACGACGATGACGGCGTCCTCGCGTCGGTAATCAAGGTGTTGGGAAGAGTTCGACAGGCGCGCGCGGCCGACGCGCGAGAATGGCCCGCATGGTATTATTTGAAACGGATCGTGCCCCCGCAGCGCGCGCGCAGGGCGTGGGAATGATGTCGGCATGCTGCGCGAGAGGCCAGTTTGGCGGAAGTCCATGATCATGATCATGCTTAATCTGTAGACATACACATAGAAACACACACACGCATACGTATATATATATATATATATAAACACATACATACATACATACATACATACAAACATACCTACCTACCTACCTACCTACCTACCTACCTACCTACCTACCTACCTACCTACCTACCTACATACATACATACATACATACATACATACATACATACATACACACAAATTCGCAAGAACACGCACGCACGTTTTCTTGAAAACTGATGTGGCGGATCCCGTTTGTTTGTTTTGTTCTTTGTTTTATCTCTCTCTCTATATATATACATATATATATATATATATATATATATATATATAGACCGCCCCCCCAGCCCCGGGTCCCACACCTCTCCGCCACATCTCGGGAACCCCGGCCTTTCCGGGGAGCCTCCATAGCGCTCAAGGAGGCCCCAAGACGCCTCCCAGGAGCCCCCAGAATGCGAAAGGATGGCCCAAGACGCTCCCAAGCAGCCCAAGTCAGCCTTCCGACGGTTCTCGAGGTTCCCAGGAGGCCCCCAAGAGACCCCAAGAGAGGTCCGAGGGGGCGTCCCGGGACGGCCCGAAGAGGCCACAATGGTCGATTGTCATCGTTTTTGTTTCAATGTTTTTAGTTTCTCGCGTATTCGAGCTTCCAACGGTCCAAGAGCGCCGAAGAGGCTCCCAAAACCGCCCTGAGACCACCCAAGAGACCCTCAGGACGGCCCCAAGACGAGCCAAAAAGGCTCCAAGACTGCCGAGGAGGCGTCCAGGACAGCCCCAGACCACCCCAGAACAGGCCCAAAATGGGCCCAAGAGCGGGAGCACGAGGCTTCCAGAGACCGCCGACAGGCTTCCGGGACCACCCAGAGGTCCCCAACACACACCCGATCATTGAGAGGCCCCAAGAAGACCCCGACGAGGCTCCAAGAACAGCCCAACAGAGCTGCGAGAGCAGTCCCGAGAGAGCCCCAAGAGGGTAACATCGTTGATTTCCAGTGGTTTTTCTAATGTTTTTCGCCTTCTCACGTTTTTTCGCTTCCAACCCTCGAAGATCGAGGATTTTGAAGAAAAGAGGAACTCCCAGAATTCCCTTTTTTCCAAAATGTGGGACTCCTACTCGGAGGTCCTACACATCCCTTGACATTTAGCCGGTACCGCGCCTCCCGGTTTCCCGGGGGGGGCCCTAAGACGCCCAAGAACAGCCCAAGACGACCCCAAGGAGCCCCCAAAACGTAAAGAACGGCCCAACACGCTCCCGTGCAGCCCGAGACACCTTTCCGACGGCTCTCTAGGCCTCCAGGGGGCCTCCAGAACCCTCAGGGGGTCTGGAAGACCCCACACCCCTGAGGGGCCAGACTAACAAAGCCCGCGAGGCACAAACAGAAAACAGCGCCGACAGCGCCGAGGAGCTGGACAAAATGGAAATACATTGTTTTTGCTATTTTTTGTCAAGTTTGCCTCCAGGTCTACGCTTGCACAACAGACCACAATTCATACCCCCCTCGCCTCCCCAAAAAAGGCCCAGGAAGCCTTTGAGGGCCCCAAGTCGTTGAATATTTAAAGGAAATTAGTGATATCTTCGTTTCCGCACTTCCCCGTCTATACGATTCCGAGGCTTGCGCAGGGTCTCCAAGGGAGCCCCATGGACGCAAGAAGCGACCAACATGATATTACACGAGTTAGCCTATCAAGCCTAGCTAGAAATTGAGCGCGCGCGAAGCGCGCAAATATTCTAGTGTATATATATATATACACATGTGTATATATATATATATATATATATATATATATATGTGTATATATATATAGACAGTCGGTTTGAAATCGCTACGAAACCAACAGGTTGTTGACGGATTTCGGCATGCGCGCGCGTGCAATTTGCCCAATTGTTTGCAAAAGGGTTCTCGCGACGGCACGCGCGCAAAGGCGTTCGAACGATTTCGACATGCGCGCGCGCGAAGCCCGTTTGGTAGCATTCTCAGAAAATTTTGAAAAACCTATGGTTTATGCTATTATTCGGAAAATGACGTCGCAAGAGCGCGCGCACAAGCGTTTTTAGAACATCCGTGTTGCGAAGCCCCTGTGTTTTTTATATGTGTTTTGGGTCGAAGGTTTTTGAAGGATTTTGGCTTGCGCGCGCGACGACGCGCGCGTGTGGTCTTCGTCCTATGTGTTGCAATGGGTTTGGGACAAGTTCTAATTGTTTGATAATCGAGTGCGCGCGCATACCGTTTTTTGCAGAGGACGGCGGGGGGTGGCGGATACTGGCTCGGCTGGGATTTTACGAGTTCGAATTTAGGACGAACGATGGGGCAGAATCGTATGTAAGTTGCAATACGAAAAGGGATGTTGATAATCGGGGGGTGGGGGGGAGACTTTATTTTTTAAGAAAGGAGAGTATATATATATATATATGGTGCAATTGACTTTGTGTCTTTCGTGCGTGACCACCTTCGATGACTGCTTGGCGCTGGCTGGCGCATCGCTGTGGCCGCGCTAGCGCGTGTAGGCTCGCGCGCAAAGCGGGCAACGAGTCTGACGCGACCGACGCGGTCGTGGTGGCGCTGACCGCTGGGGTGCTGGGGTCTTCCAGCGCGTCTCGCAGGCCGCGCTGACGCGCAGGCACTCCAGTGCGAGTCGGTGACTCGGGTGGGCACAGCATCATGGCGACATCGATAACGGAAAACACGATGATGATAGCAACGATGCTGTTGGCGACGACGACGATGACGACGGCAAGGCCTGCGACGGCGCCGATGCTGATCACGCCGGTCGAGATGATGGTGCCCACGTGTCGGTGATGAAGGTTTGGGCAGCATTTCGACATGCGCGCGCGCGGCCGACGGGCGTGAGTGGCCCGCATGGTGTTGCTTGACAGGGATCGTGCCCCCTTAGCACGCGCGCAAGGGCGTTCGAATAATTTCGACAAGCGCGCGCGAGTGGTTCCTTTGGTCGAATTTGATGACCGTATTGATTTGTTCCCCCAAAAATAGCAAAAGCGCGCGCACTTGTCTGAAAAACCATGTGACAAAAACAACGTTTGTTTTTAATATGTCTTCGGGTCCCCCCCACTTGTCTTCCAAGGTCGAGGTTCGTCGCAATATCATGTTTTAGATGTCTTCGGGACACTCGATTTTGAAATCTTTACGATGACGAGGGTTCTTGAAGGATTCCGGCAGGCGCGCGCGACAACGCGCCCGTTTGGATTTGTCCCAAATGTTGCAACGTAATTTTAACATGGGTAATATGTGTGATACGTGATTGCGCGCGCATCGTATTATCTATCAGGGATGAAGTGGGGCGATATTGGTTAGGTCGGGATGATATGACCTCAAATGATGGAATGAACGATGGGGCAGAATCGTATGTAAATTTGTGGGTGCGAGGCCGCTCGCATGATCCCAGGGTGGGGGTCGGCAGCGACGGTTCGGCGACGGCGAGCACGGAGCCGCCGGACCGACAACCCCGCCCAGACGACGGGCGGCGACGAGGTGGCGACGGGGCGGCGACGGCGAGCACGGAGCCGCCAGACCGACAACGCCCCCCAGTTCCTTAAAGCACAACTGAGAATCCCTAAGTTCAAGCATTGTTCGGGGAATCAGGCCCGGATGTTTTCGGTTGTTTTCGGCCTCTGGGGCCCCTCGCCGGGCCCCGAGACCGTAAACAAATCATTCGCGAACAAAGACCTGCCCCAGAATGGGTCGGGTCTTCCAGGGACGCTTTATTAAAACAAATCAGGGCATCGCATGTCTGGGAGTGAGTCGGCGGTTCAAAGATGTGGTCCTAAGGGGGCCTTTCTGTAGGGCCCTTGGGATAGAAAAGGGATCTCAAGCTGAATTGTCACAGCTTGAGGCCACTCGTTCTTAGGGTCCCATCCCTCAGGGGCCCGTGTTTAGACACATTTTAATGTACTCGCCCTTTCTGGCTTCGGGGAGCTCAGGGCGACCCAAAAGTTCCCCAACAGGGCTCCAAGACCGACCAACAGTGTCCCAAAGAGGGATTGGCGCGGACTCGCCTGGTTCGTACCCGCTCGCAGCTTCTGAGCTCCCGCTGGTGTCCTGGGCCCCCACTGGATTTGAAGTGGTAGGAGCCGGATGCTCACCCAGACCTCCAGAGAGCGCCAAGCCCAGGGAGAGGATCGCGAGGTCCAGGGCCCCCGAGACTCGACAACATCGAGTCGTCGGAGGCCTGGCCACGTGGCTGCATGATGCCGATGCCGATGCCCTTTCCTTGTTTTCGCCTTCTGGGGCCTCCTCACGGTCCTTCGCCGCCGCGGCTGGATTCGCTTCGGAAAAAAGCTCAGGACGGACCCCAGGAAAGGTCTGGGGACCCATTTTGACTTGATTTGAGCCTGGGGCCTTTCGAGAGAGATCGGGGAGGAGCGATGGCGGGGCTTTTCTGCCACCCTCCACCCCCCGGAGGACCCGGGACGCACGGCGCGCATCGCGCGCCTGCAAGACATGGGGGCCCACCGGTGGCTGGCCGCCAAACGGGGCCGGAGCAGATGGTCTGGACCAATTCCCCAGGGCCAGTTTTTCGCCCTGAGTCGTGTTTTGACGGTCCCGAGGCTCGGCGAGGGCTCTTGGAGCCCGAAAACGGACAGAAACCCGCCGTTCCAATTTTTTCGGTGCGTCGAATCTTTGGGTATCGGCGATGCGGCACGATTCGAGGCACGGCGTGTCCCGCCACGACGTCGCCGAGTTTCATCGCCGACGCGGCTCTCTCCTCCAACCCCACGTCTGACCTGGCTCCACTTGGGGCGGCCTCTGCAGAAAAGGCCAGGGCGAGGCGGCGGATTTCCCGGAAGGCACGGGAGCACGGTCTCTTGGGCGTCTCGCAAGGGGGGGGCGACAAATTGAGCGTTCCAAAAAAGGCCTCGCCTTCGAGGATCGGATAAGTTGTCATCTATTCCTCGGCGGAAGGCGGCGGAAGGTCGTCGGAAGTAAAGCGGGGGCGGCACCGCTGGCGGAAGTCGGCGCAAGCCCGGGGGCGCAAGAGTCGTCCTCCCAAGAGACGACAACATTTTTGGGTTCAGGGTTTCCAGAACTCGCCAACCTGGGGGGGGCAGCGAGGGCTGCAGCAGAGGGGCCCAGCAGGGCCCCGAAAGGGGCCTTTTCAGGGCCCACAAGTGGGCCTTCAGTGTCCGAGCAGTGCACCTTTCTACCCCCCCTCCCGCTTGGAGCGTTCCAGAAAAGGCCTTGCCTTCGAGGATCGAAAGGGTCGTCATCCCTTCCGCGGCGGAATGGCGGCGGAAGGGCGGCGGAAGGTCGTGAAACGAGGCCGCCTCCGCCGGCGGAAGCCGGCGGAAGGCCGGCGGGAGTAAAAAAATGCGCCCCCCCTCTCAAGAGATGAAAACGTGTTTGGGTCCAGGGTCTCCGAAGCCGCCCATTTATCGTTAAGTCGGGCATGTCCCTCTACAGGAGGAATAGCCAAAAATAATCCAACAATAGTCTGGGAACGATCTGTTGTAGCATTTTTGTCCGTATGTTTGAGCATTTTTGGACCATGTTTCATGTTTCGCCCCAAATCCGCCTGTAGGGGGACATGCCCGACCTGAATTAATCGCCCCCCCCCAGGAAGCGCCGCCCAAGTCTCGGGAGGGGCCGCCCCTCTGGGGGGCCAAGCGCGCCCCAGGCCCTCAGGAAGGTGGGGCGTCTCGGGTGGGTGGACCAAAGGTAGCCACACGCGTCTCGCCGAGACTCCTCTTCCTTCTCCTCCTCCTCGTCCTCCTCCTCCTCCTCCTCCTCCTCCTCTCTTCTCCTCCTCCTCCTCCTCCTCCTCCTCCTCCTCCTCTCTTCGCGTCCGACGGTGGGTGGACTAAACGTGTCCACACGTGTCTCGCCAAGACCTTGAGTTATCAAAGCACGTCGGACCCACATGCATACCCTTCTTCCCTCAAATTCAAAGTTGACGGGTTTGGGCGGTAGGCCAGAGGCCAGGAACAACATGTGGACATTTCAATTTTGGGTTTGGGGGAAGGGGTGCGAAGCAAGGGCATTGTGCAGTTGTGGTCATCATCATGTTGCATCGCCTTACCGCCATGGGTGTGGATATTTCCGTCCCGAGGAGGCCTTTGGGAAAGTCGCCCCTTCCGCACCCAATACCCCTGGGGATCCCTGCTGTGCCCATTCGGCGGTTGAGCCCGTTTGGCCGCTGGACGGGCCCCCTACCGATTCCACTCGGCGGCCGAACGGCTTCAGTTCCCACCATCATGGTGTGGGAATCAGGCCCTCTCGGCCTTTCGGCTGCCCATTTGGCGGCCGATCGGGCTCAGACGCCGAGCGGGTTCAGAAGGGGAACCCTGCAGTGCCCCACGAGTTGCCACAGTTTGGGTTTTGCCCAAAGGTGGGGTGTGAACATCCACTTCACGGGCTCCAACCCCACGCGGATGGCGGCGCTGGCAAAGGCCTTCAAGGTCATTCGGATCGACATGTTTTGGCACCACGTGGAGTCTTCCAAGGGGAAGTTTGATTTCAAAGAATACGAGGAACTCTTGGCAGATATGGAGGACAACGACGTACAGCCTTTGTTCATCCTGTGCTACGGCAACGGCTTGTATGGTTGCCCAGATCATCCGCGCACGCCTTCGTGCCAAGAGGCCTTCGTCAACTACGCTGCGGCTTCGATGACTCACTTCGCGGGGCATGGAATCATCTGGGAGGTGTACAATGAACCAAATGGCTTCTGGGCTGACTTTGGACGGCTCAGAGAGGAGACTAGGCGCGAATACCCGGCGCTGGTTAATCGAGTCATGCAGCGCGTGCGAGGGGATCCAGCCATCGCAAACGAGACAGTCATTGGGCCTGCCACTTCAGGAGTCGACGTTGAGTTCATTTGTGCCACTGGCAACGTCGGTGGCCTGGATCACTTCGACGGCATCTCCGCACACCCGTACCGGAGAGAAGGGCCAGAGAGCGTAGTTGGCTCGTGGCAGGAGCTGAGACACAGGCTCGAGGGCTACCCGACGGTCGCGAAGTTGCCCTTCGTCAGCAGCGAATGGGGCTGGGCTACCTGCGGACACCCCGACAACCCTCAACCGTGCCCTCCGGGTGGCGGTGGCACTGGCGACCTCATCTCGGGAGCGCAGCAAGCGGCGAGGCTCGCGCGCCAGTGGCTGATCAACGACAACGTTGGCATCTCCTTCAGCATATGGTACGACTGGGCGGACGACGGCACCGAGCCGATGAACGCAGAGCACAACTTCGGCGCCACGTACCACGATGCCGATTACGCAGCAGAGCCCAACGTTTATGGCAAGCCCTCGTACCTGGCGGCGATGACGTTGCAGTCGCTGCTAGGCAGCCTCGTCTACGTGGAGAACCTGTGCGGACCTGACGGCACCTTCTGCCTGAGGTACCGCCATCGCGACGACCCGGACGGCAAGTACGACAAGTACGCCGTGTGGACGCTCAAGCCACACGGCCTGATGACGTTGAGCCTGCCCGTGAAGGAGCTTAGCTGCCTCTCTGTACGCCCGTTTTGAAACGCAACACGTACCGTGCTCAAAACGTCCGTGTCGATATGTACGTTGCGTGCTGGTTTTGCATATTGGTCCACGTTTTGGCGAATGCATCGCGTCAGGGCTACGTTTTCAGTTTACGTGTTGAGCTCCGCATCAATACGCTGCGTGTTGCGTGTTGCGTGCTGCGCACCGGGGCAGCCGAGCGAAGGAGTGCATGAGGGTCATCGGCATGCTGGGCGAGAACCTGGACCAGGCGGCTTGTGGCGAGGGCGGATGCCCAGAGGTCTGCCCCGAAGGCGGCGGCGGGGTGCAGATGCAGGCCTCGGGGCTCGACCTGAACCTTGGCATCGCTCGGACGTTTGCCTTTTTTCCTCGGCGAGGACCCTCGAGGAGCATCCTGGATCACCTTGCGAAAACATACACGCACGACATCGAAAAAGTGCATGGGGAACGGACGTCCGAGCGATGGCGAGGAACGGTGCTGGCGATTTCGTGGACCGTTTGCGCCCTGACTTCGCTCTGCAGCAGAGGCAGGACGGAGACAGAACGAGGGAGCGCGAACACAGCGCGAGCACGGAGAATACCGCCCGGGTCGAGCCCTGCCTCAGGTCTCCGACCTCCCCAGCTACCTCGTCCCGAAGCCCGAGGCGCACGCCGCAGCAGCGCCCGTGGCCGCCATCACAGCGGGCGCTACCGAGGCGCCCACGCCGGCGCCCACGGCGGTGCCCGCAGCAGTGGCGCCCACGGCAGCGCCCACGGCAGTGCCCACGGCGTCGCCCTCCGCGCCGCCGACCGCGGCGCCCACGGCGGAGGCCACGGCGGCGCCCGCCCCCGCCACCGCGGCGCCCTCTGGGCCGCCCGCCGCCGCACCGGGCCCGCCGCACACGGACGTGGACGTCGTCCGCTTCCTGAGGTCGGCGGGTCGGAGGGCCAGTCGAGACGCGGTGGCCCTCCGTGGCGTTTTCGGCGTTTTTTTTTGTTCTTTCCTCCATGGGCTATCTTTCCTCTATGGGCGAAAACGCATCCGTCTCCGCGGCCTCGCGGGCCAGGCCCTCGGCAGCGACTCCGCGGATGCGGGGCGTTTTTTTTGTCGCGAATGCCCCGCGAGGAGCGTATGCGTACGACCGCGTATCCGTGGGATCGCGCCCCGGAATCCAGACCGCGAGGGCGCGGATCGGAGGTTGGGGGGTGAGATCGCAGTGGAGCGGAGACCCCCAACCGGGAAATCGTTTCGTTTCGCTCTTGTCGTGCGTGCGGGCGAGGCGAAGCTGCGTGGGCGCTCGAGAGGAAAGAACCCGCCGTTGCTAGGGCGAAGTCAAGACAAATGATTCTCCCTCTCCCGCCCGTCCGGCGGTGGCTCGCGGTGTCCCGCGGTGTCCCGTGGTGTCCCGTGGTGTCCCGTGGTGTCCGCCGTTGCTAGGGCGAAGTCAAGACAAATGATTCTCCCCCTCCCGCCCGTCCGGCGGTGGCCCGCGGTGTCCCGTGGTGTCCCGTGGTGTCCCGTGGTGTCCCGCGGTGTCCCATGGTGTCTCGTTGAGTGAGATCGATTGTGAGATCGATAGTGAGATCGATACTGAGATCGCTTTGGTGCCCCGAGGTGTTCCGTGGTGTCCCGTGGTGCCCCAAGAAGTGAACTCGATAGTGAGATCGACAGGTGTCCCGTGGTGTCCCGTGGTGTCCCGTGGTGTCTCGTTGAGTGAGATCGATAGTGACATCGATACTGAGATCGATGCTGAGATCGATGTGGTGTCCCGTGGTGTCCCGTGGTGTCTTGTTGAGTGAGATCGATAGTGAGATCGATACTGAGATCGATGCTGAGATCGATGTGGTGTCCCGAGGTGTCCCGTGGTGTCCTATGGTATCCCGTTGAGTGAGATCGATAGTGAGATCGATAGTGATACCGACAGTGAGATCGAGAGGTGTCCCGCGGTGTCCCGTGGTGTCCTGTGGTGGCCTGTGGTGTCCCGTGGTGTCCCGTTGAGTGAGATCGATAGTGAGATCGATAGTGAGATCGACAAGTGTCCCGTGGTGTCCCGTGGTATCCCGTGGTGTCCCATGGTGTCCCGTTGAGTGAGACCGATCGTGAGATCGATTGAGTCAGATGTTGGTTCCCCCCCTCTCCGCCCTCCACGAGCTCCTTCTCACCCGAAGGGTTGACGTATATGTACGGAGATGGTTCGCCGCTACTGATGTTTGGCGCCTCCTGAAGGCTTCTCCCAAAGAAGTATTGATCGATGCGGGGATTCCCATACGTGCATCTCATCTTTTCTGCACGTCCCGCTGTGAGTGTATGACTGTGATGTCTGGGCGTGGAAGCCAGTCCGAGTGGACGACGGGTACGACGAACGCCAACGTCGTCGTCGTCGTCGTCTTCGTCGTCGTTGTCGTCCAGCGCCTCGCGCAGGACATCCTTACAACCTGTTTTAAACACAAAGATGCAGGCGGGTCAAACCAGGCACACCGCCTAAGACATCCCAACAACCTGGGCGCGAACGGGCGCTGGCGGCTCCTCCCTAGGGTGCTGAAACCAGCGCCTCGTTCACGACATCCTTACAGTCTGCTCTGAAAGCAGAGGTGTCTGGGCCACGGTGCAGGCATCCCGCTTGAGAAATTCCCGCAATCTGTTTCGAACGCAAAGCTGGGCCACCAACCGTGCAAATCGCGTAGGACATACTCACATCCTGGCCTGAAAGCAAATGAGTCTTGGCAACCAAGCAGGCACACCACCTGAGACATCCCCACAATCTAGCAGCGAACGGGGGAGTGAAACCACCTCCTGCGGCTCCCCTTTTGGGTGCTGAAGCCAGCAAGTCGGTTGAGACATCCTCACAATCTCTTTTTGAACGCAGCAGTGTCTTCTGGGCCACCGAACACGCAAACCTCGAACAAGCATCCCCACAATCTGGCCGCGACCAGGGACGTGGAACCACCCTGACAGTTGTCCCTGGGGGGTATTGAAGCCAGCAGATCGTCTGATACGTTTTCAAATTCTGCGTTGAAAGCAAAAGAGCTGGGGCCACCAAACAGGCGCACCTTTCCAGATATCCTCACAATCTGGCCGCGAACGGGGGAGTGACACCACCCCTGGCGGCTCCCCCTTTGGGTGCTGGAGCCAGCGAATCGGCTGGGGCATCTTCACGATCTGCTTCGAACGCAAAAGGAGCCTGGGTCACCAACCAGGCAAACCGCTCGAGACATCCCCATAACCTGGCCGCGATCGGGGGAGTGGAACCACCCCAGGCGGCTTCACCATTGGGGTGCTCAAACCAACGAATCGGCTGGCTCCGCCTTGGGGTGCTGAAACCACCGCCTCCCTCGAGATATCCTTAGAATCTGGCAGTCTGCTGGGAGTGAGTGTGAGTGTAATTGAGTCCGAGTGCGAGCGAATCTAAACATGAGCGAGTCAGAGTTTGAGCGAGTCTGAGTATGAGTGGGCCTGAGTATGAGTGATTTTAAAGTTGAGTGGCTGAGTCTGAGAGTGGATGGTCTTGCGTGAGAGAGTGAATCTGCGTATGCAGAGTGAATCTGAGTGTCAGTGACTGAGTCTGAAGTAGACTGGGGTATGAGTGAGTCTGAGGGTGAGTAAGTCGAAGTGTGAGTGACTCTGAAACTGTGGGGTCGGAAGTGTGAACGGCTGCAGTGCGATGGAGTGATGGACACCGCAGTGGGGAGTGTAAGGAGGGAGAGAAGAGGAAGCGTAGGAGTAGGACTCAAGTTAGCCAGGTCGAGCGAGTTAGAAGGCCCCGCCTACTCCTACCCTTCCCCCAGGCAGAAGAACCACTGGTAGCTCATTTTGATATTGGGATTGGAACGCGCTCCCACCTCTCAAGCAGAAGGCGCTCGCGGGCGGTCCCGCCTCCGACGACTTGGCGAAGAGAAGACTACCCGCGCCGCGCAGCGGCGGAGTCGGCAAAACTTCAGAAGGGCGCAGCGAAGACTAAGAATTATCTGAAAAATGAGCGCGGCGCCGAGGCGAAAACTGCATCTCGGCCTTTCGCACAGGATGTGCGCTCCGTCCCATTTTCGTTTTTCATTTTGCGACATCGACGAAATAATGTTCATCCAGAGGCGCAGAAGCACTAGTGTTGCATGGTTTTTGTGCAGGTCGGATGGAAGGACCCAGATGTGGTAGCTCTCGGCCAGCAGCGGGGGTATATAGTAGTACGGACAATGAGATTAAGGAATAGGGATGTGTGAGGCGGAGGGTCCCAGCAATAGCAAGAAAGCCATCTTGGGATATACGGTCAAGGGTCTGATTAAGACCCCCCTCGATCAACTGGGTCAGCGTTTCTTGACCAACTTGTTGGAAAGGTGGCCCAACTTGTTGAACACGTCCGCCCTTGCAGCAGTCACGGAAAAAGTTGGCCCAGGCTTGTTTGAATAAACTTTTGGGATGTCGGCCCAGGTTTCTTGATTCATATTTTCTTGATCAAATTGCCGGCTTTAGCGAAACAGCCACATAAAGCAGAACTATTCGGAGGTTCGCGCGGATTTCTCGGATCGGAGCCGGGCCTCCCAGGTGCGCGGAGCGCGCCAGGGGCGGCGTCGGAGAGACGCCGCCAGGGGGGTCCAGCGTCGATCCCAGAAATCTGCGAGGACCTCCGAAAGTCAAAGCTTATGCAGTTGACGTTCTTCGTCTCGTGTCGTCGCCGCGGCCAGATCTGCCGCGAACAACGGGTCAGGGTGGACCCCAGGGTGGACCCCGGGGAGGGGTCCAGTGGCGAATTGTGAGCGGAGTTGGGCCAAGCGGAGCCGCTTGAAATCGGTCCGCGGATTCCCCCCTCCCGGGGTCCATCCTGACTCGTTAATCGGGGCGGATCCGGCCGTGGGGACGAGAAGCCTCTAGGACGCCCCAAAGAGGACGAAAAACGCCCAGACCCAGACATCCAACATGTCGGTCGGTTTTTAGGGACACGGCCCTTCGATTTCTCGACCACTTCTCGGGGACTGTTTTTTCATCCCGAGTCATCTTTTGACTGTCCCGAGGCCCAGAGCAGGGCCCCCGAGGGGCCGAAAACGATGACAAATGTCGCCACGCTGTTTTCGAGACGCCGGATGTCGAGGGGGGAGGGCCGCCGTTGTCTCGACCAGCCCTCCGAGGTCGGCCGAGGCTGCGGACATGCGCGCCGACCGGGTAGCCTGGCTGCGGTCCATGGGCTCACGCCGGTGGGGCGTGGGCGTGGACGCAGGCACCCTGGAGACGGGTGAGGAGGCCGAGCTGGCGAGCGCGTTTTCCACCGCCCGTGTGGCGGTGTCCTGGGCCACCGTGGAGAGAGGGGGCAACGTTAGGGGGGGATAGGCTCAGGGGCTCGAGATTCGAGGTCCTCGCGCGGTTTCGTTGGTTCTCCCCCGCTGTCTAGCCTTGGGATGCGTTCCAGCGGCCGCGCCTCGCCGAAAGCGTTCTGGGGGTGCCCAGATCGCCCCGAACGGCCGCCAGAGGCCCGAGTTCTGGCTCGAAAGCCACCCGGGACGGGGACGGGGATGGGCTCAGCCCCTCCCCCCCCCCCAAGACTCCCGACGTCATGTTTTTTTTTTGTTTGTTTAATGACGTCGACTCCAAAAACATCTCGACCCATTCCCTGGGACCGGGTTTTTGTCCTGAGCCGTTTTTTGTCGGCCCTGAGGCCCGGTGAGGGCCCCCAGAGGCCGAAGGTCGAGAACATTTTCCCGTCATGATTTCTTCCGCACTCGACGGGCCTAGCGCTGCCCCTCAGGATGGGGGTTTCTCCAAAGGGCTTAGGCGACCCGTCCTCCTACTCCTCCTCTTCCTCCTCCTCCTCCTCCTCCTCCTCCTCCATCTCCTCCTCCTCCTCCTCCTCCTTCTCCTCCATCTCCTCCTCCTCCTCCTCCTCCTCCTCCTCCTCCTCCTCCTCCTCCTCCTCCTCCTCGGGTCGCCTACGGCCCCGGGGGAAACCGTGCACCTCAGGAGACGGAGAAGGGCATCTACAATTTCACAGCGTACGACGACGTGGTCGGCCGCCTCCAGGGGCAGAGCGTCCAGGTCGTCGCCTCGCTGTGCTGCGGGAGCGAGCTGTACGACTGCGGGAGCTACCCAGGTGGCGGCTCCGAGTGCAGGGACGCCTACGTCGCCTACGCCATGGCCGCGATAGCGCACTTCCGCGGCCGCAGAGGGACAAACCATTTTATAAACATACGCTTTCGGAGGGCCGCGGGGATCTCTTGCATTGGCGGAGGGGGTCGACGCATCCCCCCTGAGCCTATCCCCCCCTCAAATTGCCCCTGAGTTCGTTGGGCCATCGGGGGACAAGAAATTCGTGTGGGGCACATGCTGTAGAGAAACAAGACGGCATAAACATAAGCTTCCGGATCTCCGCGCGGATTTCCAGAATCGGCGCTGGGCCCCTCTCCCTTGCTGGCGCAGGGCGCGCCGAGGGCTGCGCGGGGCCCAGCGCCGACCCCACAAATCCGCGCGGAGCTCCGAGCGTCCATGCTTACACGCAGTTGTTTTCTTCTCCGGAGGCCAGAACGTGATCTGGGAGGTCTTCGACGAGCCGAACGTGGCGTGGGCCGGCGGCGAGGGCGCCGGCGAGGCCGCGGCGCAGTACGCCCTGCTGCTCGACGCGCTGGGGCAGGCGGTCCGCCTGGACGCCGACACCTCCAACGAGATCCTCGTAGGTGATCAAAGTCGGCGGCGAGCCCAGCGGGGGAGGCAGAGGGGGCGAGCCTTCTCAGAAGGCTCGGGGAGCCCCCGGCCTCGCGAGAAGTGTTTCCCCAAGCAGTGCCTGCACTTTGGGGGCTTCTACCTCTCGTCTGAGGAGCTGGGCCCGGGTGGCGGTCTGGCGGGTCTGCGCTCGCCGCCGCCGCCCCGTCGCCGCCCGTCGTCTGGGCATGGGGCATGGGTGGCGGTCTGGTGGCTCTGTGCTCGCCGCCGCCGCCGCCCCGTCGCCGCCTCTTCGCCGCCTCGTCGCCGTCTAGACTGTGAAGCACCGGTTGCGCCACGTCTACTGCACAACGTAAACTGCACCAGTTGCATTTCGTCGACTGCAGCACATAATCTGTATCACATACATTCTCCTTTCTAGAGAAGTATTCGGATCTACCTCCCGCCCAGATTGAGGGTTACCTCATCGCATCGCAATTCACATCTGGTTATGCACCATCGTTTATCCGAAATATGAACCGAAGACGCCTACGGCGAATCACCGCCGCCCCCTGTCTTTGTGGAAACGCCTATGTGGCCGAACGTTGTGGCCAGAGGCCTGCCAAGCTATCGGACCATGTGTTCTCCGAATCGGTTTGGAAAGCGTTCGGGCAACACGGTGGGGGAGGAGGAATGATAGGAGCGGGAGGAAGAAGGAGAAGGGAGCAGGAGGCCTCTTGGGAGCCTCTTGGGCTACTCTAGGGTTTTATTGGGCCATCTTTGCGGTCTTGGAGGCATCTTGGGACTGTCTTGGAAGCCATGTTGAGGCAATTTTGGGGCTTCTTGGGGCCATCTGGATCATTTTGGACGCATCTTGGAGGCCATCTTCGGCCACGTTGGCCGTCTTGGAGGCGTCTTGGGACCGTTTTGGAGGCCATCTTGTCCGTCTTGGAGGGATATTTCGTGGACTTTGAGGTCCTGTATGGTCTCTCCGTCGCTGTTGAGGTCCTCTTGGGGCCGTTTTGTGCGCCTATTGGGCCATCATAGGGCAATCTTGGAGGCGTCTTGCTTTTCTGGAAGAGCTCATGTGTCGGAACGTTGTGACTGCAATGTGTCTTGTCTACTGGGGTGTTTGTTCCCCGAGTTGCGTTTGACAGCTTTCGGGGAACACGAGAGTGATAATGACCGTCTTGAGCCGTCGGACTGCCGAGAAGAAGCAAATGCCAAACTTCAACACCCTAAGGAACAGCAATGATTTTGGTCTCTTCGGGCCCTCCTGGACGACCTCTTGGAGTCCTCTTGTGCCGTCTTGGGCGCCTCTTGGGGGCCTCTTGGGCCGCCTTAGGTCGTCGTCGATGCATCTTGGGCCGTCTTGGAGGCATCTTGGGGCCATTTCAGCCGTCTTGGAAGCCACCTGGGCCGTCTTGAAGGCCTCTTGGGGGCCTCTTGGGGCCGTCTTGGGGCCTCTTGGGCCGACATGGGGCCATCTTGGAGGCCTGGTGGGCGATCTTGGGGCGATCTTGGGGGCCTCTTGGGCCGTCTTCAGCCGTCGGAATGCAGAGAAGAGGCACATGCCAAACTCCTTGAACAAAAACCTAAGGACAATTAATGATTTTGGTCTCTTCGGGTCCTCCTGTAGGACCTTTGGAGGCCTCTTGGGCCGTCTTGGAGACCTCTTGGGGGCCTCTTGGGCCGTCTTGGGCAATATTGAGGCCATATTAGGCCGTCTTGGATGCACCTTGGGCCGCCTTGGAGGCATCTTGGGGTCATCTTGGGTCGTGTTGGGCCGTCTTGGAGGCTATCTTGGCCGTCTTGGAGGCCTCTTGGGCCGTCTTGGGGCCGTATTGGGGGCCTCTTGGGCCGTCATGGGGCCATATTGGAGGCCTGGTGGGCGATCTTGGGGCGATCTTGGGGGCCTCTTGGGCCGTGTTGAGCCGTCGGAATGCCGAGAAGAAGCAAATGCCAAATTCGTTCAACACCTTAAGGGAAAGCAGTGATTTTGGTCTCTTCGGGTCCTCCTGGATGACCTTTTGGAGGCCTCTTGAGCTGTCTTGGAGACCTCTTCGTAGGCCGCCTTGGATGCATCTTGGGCCGTCTTTGAGGCATCTTGGGGTCATCTTGGGTCGTGGTGGGCCGTCTTGGAGGCTTCTTGGGCGAAATTGGAGGTATCTTGGACTCTCTTGGGCGGACTTGGAGGCCATCTTGGACCATCTTGGAGGCCATCTTGGGCCAACGTGGCCATCTTGGAGGCCATCTTGAGCCGTCTTGGTGAATTTTTCGGGGATTGAGATCCCTTTCGCGTGGCCGGCGGGACGGGCCGGAGCCCCAGGGAGAGTTCTTTTTAGAAAAAGAACCAAAGCCAACACCGAAAGGATCTAGCACGCCAGGCATCCCTGTGATGAATGAACAGGGGGCGGCGGATTCGTACCGTCTCAGCCAGACGCTTATCGCCTCCCCCTCATCCTCTGTCACATATACTATGCTCGCGCATTCGGTTAGCACAAACTATCAATGTTCAAGAGTCTCTTGTAACAAGTTTGGCGAAGTGCACACGCGCGCGCTGTCGCGCGCGCATGCCGAGATCCTTCGAACATTTAGGTGTCGTAATGCGCTCAACATCGAAAGTACCGATCGATACATATATATACATATATATATATAGAAATGTATATATTTCGATATATACATATGTATACATGTGTGTTTTAAATATATTGCAACCTATGAATTTGCAACACCACATTTTTACCAACCATCCTGCAGTGTTGGGTCCTCGTTTTGAAGAGACAGTGCCCCGCGTTCCTTCCTTCCTTCTTCCTCCTCTCCTTCTTCTCCTCCCCCTCCTCCTCCTCCTGCTGCCGACACTGCCAGGGGCACGAAGGTCGCGGTGTCGAAACATGCGCGCATGCACACATATCCAGGAAGAGGAAAGGAAGGAGGAATACGAGAAAGAGGAAGGGGGCCCCGCCTACCCCCGCGCCTACTTGCACCCATCGCGCGCTCTTGCGTCGTCGTCGTCGTCCTCCCTCCTCCCGCGTCGTCGTCGTCGTCGTCGCCTACGTCGTCCTCTGTCTTTCCTCGTGTTCGTCGTCGTCGTCGTCCTCTTTGGCGTCGTGGTCGTTTCCGTCGTCGTTGTCGCCGTGGTCGTCCTTCCTCCTCCTCCCTCGTCGTCGTCGTCGTCGTCGTCGTCCGTCGTCGGCGTCTCGTCGTCGTCTCTCCTATTTCGTCGCTGTTGTCGTCGTCGTCGTCGTCGTCTTCCCTCCTCCCTCGTCGTTGTCGTCGTCGGCGTCGCCGTCATTCCTCCTTCTTCGTCGCTTGAGTCGTCGCCGTCCTCCCTCCTCCCTCGTCGTTGTCGTCATTGTCGTCGTTGTCGCCGTCGTCGTCCTCCCTCCTCCCTCGTCGTCGTCTTCGTTGGCGACGTCGTCGTCGTCGTCCTCGTCGGCGTCGGCGTCGTCGTCGTCGTCGTCGGTGTCGTCGTTGTCACCGCCGTCGTCGTCGTCGTCGTCGTCGTCGTCGTCGTCGTCGGCGTCGTTGACGTCGTTGTCGTCGTCGGTGTCGTCGTTGTTGTCGTCGTCGTCGTCGTCGTCGTCATCGTCGTCGTCGTTGTCATCGTCGTCGTCGTCGTCGTCGTCGTCGTCGGCGGCGTCGTCGTCGTCGTCGTCGTCGTCGTCGTTGTCGGCGTCGTCGAAGTCGTTGGATACGTCGTCGGTGTCGTCGTAGTCGTTGTCGGCGGCGTCGTCGTCGTCGTCGTTGTTGCTGTCGTCGTCGGCATCGCTGTCGTTGCCAAGTGCCATTTGGTACCCACCGTCACGGTCATAAGAGATTTTGCAAGCCAAGTTGCGGGTGGGTGGGTGGGATGTTTGCGCGAGCAGTGGAGTGGACAACTCACTGCGAACAGAAATTAATTGCACCGCATAGAATGCACCACACGAATTGCTAGAACCGCACTGTTTGGGGTCCGCGCTGGTTGAAATATGAGCCTTCTCTGAAAACATACGCTAGGTTCGTGTCGTGTCCACCAGCGGCGACCCCGCCGCCGGCGATCCAGATTCGGTCGACGTTGAACGGTCCGACGTTTCGGGAACGGTCGATCGATCAAGGTTGGAAAATCCCGGAGGTGTCAGAAACCAACGCCGAAGTCGGCACGACACAAACTTGCCGCGGATGGCTTCTCAAAAGGCCGGAGGGCTTCCGAGAAACCCCGCAGCCTTCTAAGAAGGCTTGCTCTCACCTCTCCCCCCGGTTCGCCGCTGGCACAGGAGGAAACAAACACCGATATAGTTATCTTGGAGCCAGCTGGGGGGCCGAGGTGGCCCACCATCGCTTCCGGCCAGCTAAAGGGCGACAGGGGACCCCCCGTCGCAACGGCTGGACGCGGCTCGAAAAACTTGTCAGATTCGACCCCGGGGAGGGTCCAGGTCCAGGGACCGATTGTGAGCGGATTTGTTCTTTGCCCCCCCCACCCTAACCCCACCCCACCCCCCGCCCTCGTGACCGGTTTTCTCGGGGCCCATCCAGCGCAGACGCCCCAGCCGATTCAAACCGGTGTCCTTGCCTCATGTTCGGCTTTCTGGGCCTCCTCGGAGGCCTTCGTCGCCACGGCTGGATCGCCCGAGTGCTACCAACACGATTGGGACTAGCAGTACGTCGGTGAGCAGCACGTGCGAGCAGCAGCATGTATGTTGACTCTGGAGGTCGGGACTTTGTGCCCCTTGGGGTGCTAGGAATTTTGAGCCTGGTGGAAGGGGTGGGGAGGGAGGGATTGCCTTTTCCAAAACCCCCACCACCTCTGGAGTAATATGTGCAACGCCAGGAGGGGGGCCGCCGTTCACCCACCTCTCCTCCACAGGGGGTGGGGTGCGAAGTCCCTGTGGACGAGACGTGGTGGGAGTCGAAGGGCACCATACGCCTTTCAAGAATCAAAGGTGGGCACCCTTGGCCTACCACCACCAATGCAGGTACACAATATGTCCTCCACCCTACACGACCCCAGTCAATGTTCATTGAATCTCTCAATTCTGATACTTCTCATTCTCTCTTGGTCAAAACGCACCCCAGGAGAGGTCCTTCGAGTAGCGGTATCGGTACCTTTTGATTTTCCCAGGCCCTGCGACCGCCGGGATCGACATAGGTTTCATCTCCGCCGTCGGGGACACCGCGGCTTTCGGAGAAGAAAACGCGGCACAGCGATACATTTTCTGAGCTCTGCGCGGGTTTCTTGGATCGGCGTTGAGCCCCCTGTCTCCCCTGGCGGTGCTTCCGGCGCCGCCAATGGCGCGCTCCGCGCGCCAGGGAGGGGGTTCAGCGCTGGCCTAAGGGAAACGCTCGGACCTCCGAAAGTTTGTGGTGTGCTTAAGCCGTTTTCTGTTATCCTTTCAGGCCTTCCGGTGGCTGGACGGCATCTCCGTGAAGCCGGCCCCCGTGCACGACGGGAACGACGGCACCTTCCTCGCCCTCTCGCAGCTGGCGCGCCGCTTCTCCCCGGAGGGCCAGGTGGCCCCAGCGCTGCTGAGCACCTCCTCTGGCTGGCCCGCCTGCTCCAGCAGCCTGGACCAGCCGCGGTCGTGCGCCGCGGGCGCGGCGGCCGCGGAGTCGGCAGGGGCCGTGCCGCTCGAGGAGCAGGCCGCCCGGCTGGCGCGGCAGTGGCTGGTGCACGACGCGTGCAACGTGTCGGTCAGCCTCTGGCCCGCCTGGAAGGACGGCGGCGAGGGCGCGCCGCCGCCGGCGGGCGGCTACGGGGTCGTGCTGCGCGCCGCCGCGCCCCTGCGCCCGAAGCCCGCGTACTTCGCGGCGCGGGCCCTGAGGGCGCTGCTCGGCCGCAAGGCCGTCGAGGCGAGCTGCTCCGCGGACGGGCGCCTGCGCTGCCTGGCCTACGCGCCCGCGGGCGGCGGCCGCGCCCGCAGCTACGCCGTGTGGTCGGTGGCCGCCGACCCGCCGCGGGGCCTCGCCCTGCGGCTGGGCGCGTGCCTCGCGGTGGTGGACATGTCGCTCGCCCAACTGGGCCAGCTGTGCCCGGGGCAGGAGCAGGACCCCGTCCGGCGGCAACGACAGGGGGGACGCATCGACCCGGGCGGGTCGAGGTTCGAGGTCTTAGCGCGGTTTGGTTGGTTCTCCCCGGGATTCTAGCCTCTGCATGCGCTCCAGCAGCTGCGCCTCGCCGAGAGCATTCTGGGGGTGCCTGGATCACCCCGAACGGCCGCCGGAGGCCCGAGTTATGGCTCGAAAGCCACCAGGGAAAGGTGACAGGCTCAGGGGGGGAACCATCGACCCGCAATCGCCCACTCGTCGCCGGCATGGGGTCCGATAGCCCACCCTATCCAGGACCGGATTCGCAATCGGGGGCATGGCGTCGATCCATCTGCGATGTATCGCAGATTCTCACAGAGGGGTGGCCAGTGTTTCACCCGCCAGACCTGGTCCCCCCGATGTGTCCTCCAGCTGGAGCAGGACTCCTCCTTGGCTCGGGCGTTGCGCAGTGGGGGACGATAAGCGGGAGAGAGAAGAAAGTTGCACCGTTCGTGGACCTCATGAGACTTCAAGGGGCCCCAAAGGGGCACGAAATGTACTCGTTTCTTCGTCCCCCCATTCATCGTCTTCCATCAAGCAACGCCCAACTTGGCGGCGCCTTCAAAGGTCGAGGATATGCAAGGCGGAGAAGAAAACGCGGCACGGCCATATATTTTCGGAGCTCCGCGCGGATTTCTTGGATCGTCGTTGGGCCCCCTGGCGGCGCCTTCAGCGCCGCCAACGGCGAGCTCCGCGCGCCAGGGAGAGGGCTCAGCGCCGATCCAAGAGATCCGCGCGGAGCTCCGAAAGTTTATCTGTATGCCGTTTGTTTTTCTTCTACTAAGACGCGAGCTCGCCAGAACCCGGATTCAGACTCCGCTTTTTGGCGGTCCTGCCATGGACTCTGGCGGTCGGGTGTTCATGAGATGTTCGCATCGGACGAAGTCTTGACATTTTTCTGACGGCCCCGCCAGGCAAGTTCGAGCCCGCACTCGAGCCCCACGTATCCCCGAAAGAGACCGGGTGGCCGCCCCCTCGCCTCGAGCCCTCGTGCGCCTCCCCCCCGCCCCGCGGCCCCCGCCCGTCTCCTTACGAGTACGCCCCCCCCCTTCCTATCCTGCCTTCCTGTGGGCGCAAGCACCGCCTCCCCTTCGCCCTGCCCCCCCTCAAGGTCGACTGAGAGCGCTCGGAAAGCATCCTGGCCGGAGTTTCGAGGGGAATCCAGCCGTGGTGACGAGACCGCCCCCAGGAAGCCCAGCCAGCCCCTTGGGATTGGCAACTCTTGAAGGTCGATGCCCCCTCGCCCTGCCCATGCGTGCGCGCCGCCAAGCAGGACTTCGTCGCCACGCCGCAGCCCCAGTACCTCGTTCCCTGCGAGGAGGCTCCTTCTGGCAGGTGTGAGATCGACACCGCCTCGTCGGTCTGAGGACAGGCGCGACCGCGCCCCAACCAGCCGGCACGCTGTTTTGGTGTCCCCTCTGGTTCCGTTCGATCCGCCTCCTCTGAATTCATCCTCCTCCTCTTCCTCCTTCTCCTCCACCTCCTCCTCATCTGTATTCCTTTTTCGCCCCCATGTCCTCTGATCCTGCGTCTTGTGAAAAGCGTCGGAAGGGTCCCCCCCGAGGGAGTCTGACCTCGCTGCGTCGGCGCACCGCTCCAGACCACATCGACCGGTGTCTGCCCACGGGGGTGGCCGATTGCGGGCTTGTCGGCGGCGGGGGCGCGTCCCCCCGACGTTTGTCGAGAAACCTGGAGCAACTCATCACTATTCACAGCTGCCCACAGGGTCCAGAAACGGCAGGTACCGAGGGATGCAAGGGTGGAACGAGGTACCTCCGTATTCCCAGCAGATGTGGCCCACCTTCAGGCAGCGAGGTTCCACCCTCAGGCAACGAGAGCAACAGCATGGACAAGGGCCAGCAGACAGCGCAGAACGTGACCATCCCAGTACAGAGAGGGCCTACAACGTCGCAGGAAGTGGGAGGCAGCAAGTACGGGCTGGACAGGACAAGCGAGAATCTACAGTAGACGAGCACAAGCTGGACGACGATAAACCATAACATCACTTCGAATATCAACATGACCAAGAGCCTGCACGAACAACTGTTCCTGAGCCCCACGAGAGCGAAGGTGGGCATCGCGATGAAATACTTTGACGAGATGGCCAGGGTGGAAAGCATTTTCGTGATAAGGACCAGCACGAGACAACTGAAGAAGTGATCAACATCCTAGTCAACCGACGGACTGCTCTACGACCAAAGCAAGGAATACAATAATTTACAGCTGCCTAACCAGACGGAGTGCCTCACAAACCAGAGCGACCAGAGCATGCCTGAGTTTCAGTTGACGTCCGAGAAACCAGAATAGAAGACCGACGGCCCTAAGACGTGGGTTCATTAGAGATGGGAACCGACAGGCGAGAGCACGTGGCGCACAGGTCGCATGAGAACATGCAGAATACCAGATGCTGCTTACACTGACCTCACGCCAGAACTCGAACACCTTCGACCTTCCATATGACAACTTACACTTCCCATGAGCCCATGAGCAATTTGTACGGTACGCAACGCGCTCCCGCATGCGATCATTACATTCCTCACATGGGTAGTAAACACTTCTCATGTGGAAATGTACGCTGCTGAGATGGGTCTAAACATTCCACTTATGCTTACGATGCAGCTTGCATCTTCAACCGACCAAGCTCCCAAATCGAAAGGAAAACAATCTTCAAACACAAACTCAAACAAGCGAACGCCTTTTATAGTTGTCCTATAACAGTTGTTAGTTTCCAAACGACACCACAGAGCTCCAATATGACTAGTGATCCCTGCCCAGTTTGAAAGTTACACAACTGCCAGATGAAATTAAGCAAAGTGGTACTTATTCCAAATATAGCACGGATGTTGTCTCCCAAAACAAATGTTAGTTTCTGGACTGCGATTTGCCTGTCATGCGCCTGGACTTCCATATGTTGGTGCTCGCGTGGGTATTGTGGCGGTCGCAGCGACCCCCCGCTCCGACGTGCTTCACCCAGCCCAAGCATCACGAATACCCCGGGCCCCAACCAGCCGCCCTCGCGGGGTAGCGATCGTTACCGGAAGGTCGTCAAGAATTAGGTCGTAACGAACGTCCTCTGAAATCCTCGCGTCGTCAAGAATTAGGTCATGGTAAGGCTTCGTGCTGCGCGCAGGCGCCCCCCCCAGGCAGTTCTGCCTGTCTTCAACAGGCCCCTCGAGCATCCAGGGGCGGTGTCAACAGCCGACCTCTGGGGGCGCGGAGCGCCCCATGGTCGCCGCCGCAGTCGGCACCGGGGTGTTGAGAGATGCTGATGATGATGATGATGATGATGATGATGATGATGATGATGATGAGGATGAGGATGAGGATGAGGATGAGGATGAGGATGAGGATGATGATGGTGATGGTGATGATGATGATGGTGTTGGTTTTGATGAGACTACCGATGCTGATGCTGCTTATGATGATGGTGATGATGATTATAATGGTGATGATGGTGCTGATGATGCTGCTGATGATGATGGTGATGATGATGACGATGACGGTGACGATGATGTTCATTCTGATTATGATGTTGATGCTACTGATGATGATGCTGATGCTGGTGCTGATGTTGATGCTGATGACCAGGATGATATTGATGCTGATGGTGATGATGATGTTTATGTTGCTGATGGTGACGATACTGGCGATGACGATGCCGATGATGGTACATTTGATGATGCTGATGATGCTGATGATGATGCTGATGCTGCTGTCGATAATGATTATGTTGATGGCGATGCTGCTGATGGTGATTATGCTGCTGATGATGATGGTGATGGCGAGGCTGATGTTGGTGTTGATGATGATGTTAAGGAGGAGGAATATGATTCTGATAACGATGGTACTGATGAGTATGAATGCGATGATGATTGTGATACTGACGATGCTGATGATGGTGATGATTATGCTGATGATGATGTTGATGATGCTGATGATTATGATGATGATGATGATGATGATGATGATGATGATGATGATGATGATGATGATGTTGAGGATAGCGATTATGATGCTGCTGATGCTGATGTTGATCATGGTGATGACGAGGAGGAGGAGGAGGAGGAGGAGGAGGAGGAGATGGATGACGAGGAGGGGGAATAGGAAGAGGATGAGGAGGAGGAGGAGGAGGAGGAGGAGGAGGAGGGCGGGGAGGAGGCGTGGAGGAGGGTGGGGAGGAGGAGGGGAGGAGGAGGAGGAGGAGGAGGAGGAGTTGGAAGAGGAGATGGATGACGAGGAGGGGGGGAAGAGGAGGAGGATGATGATGATGAGGAGGAGGAGGAGGAGGAGGAGGAGGAGGAGGGGGGAGGAGGCGTGGAGGAGGTGGGGAGGAGGAGGAGGAGGAGGAGGAGGAGGAGAGAGGAGGAGGAGGAGGAGGAGGAGGAGCAGGAGGAGGAGGAGGGGTGGAGGTGGTGGAGGAGGAGGAGAGGAGGAGGAGGAGAAGGAGGAGGAAGGGAGGAGGAGGAGGAGGAGGAGGAGGAGCCGAAACCTCAACGCCTTCACAGCGAGCTGCCCCTCTTTCCCCCTAGCCTGGCGCCCCACGCGGCCCGCACGGCGCACGCGCGCCGCATACCACAGAATTCGCCCCCGCGCGGGCTCGCACAGGCCTCGCGCCGCTGGCGCTCGGCCTGCGGGACCGCGCGCCTAGGCGGGAATCGACCCGGCGGCGTACAGAATTGCAGCCCGGCGAATCAAGTTTTGTGATACGGATCGGTTATATAGTGTGTATAAATATACCTACCTACCGACCTACCTACCTACCGCTCAACCTACCGACCTATCTACCGACATACATGCATGCATGCATGCATACACACATACATACATACATACCAATATACAGACATTCATGCATTACAGACATCCGCTGTAGCAGAAACAGAGAGGGCCCACGAACCGTCCGCACCTTACAGTGGAACAAAAGCCTTGTGAACGTGGGACTTGGTCTGAAGCGGAGACCCAGGCATGCTCGCGTCGTGGAAAATACAACGAAAGGTTTGTGGCCGTTCTCGGTCTTTGGGGGTCCTCGCCAGGCCCCGGGACAGTTCACAAAAGTTCCCGGGGCGGGAAACATGCCCGGCACTTCTCCAGCCTCGGGGTGCTCTCCAGCAGCCGCGCCTCCCCGAGAGCGTGTCGGGGGTGCCCAGATCGTCCCGAACGGCCGCCAGAGTCTTGAGTCATGGCCTGCAGGCCGACGACGGTCAGGCAGGACGACCGGGGGGACCAGGGGAAGGGAAGGTACGAAAATGGCTGCGTGCAGCTGGCTTCGGTCCCGCCGCCCCCTCGGCACAGAAATCCTCGATACACTGGCGCCTCTGGTGCCAGGAGGCGCCACATCGGGGGAAAGAGCATGAGGTCCGCGCGAATTTCGTGGATCGGCGCTGGACCCCCCTGGCGGCGCCTCGGGCGCCGCCCGTGGCGCGCTCCGCGCGCGAGGGCGGGGGGTCCAGCACTGATCCCAGAGCTCCAGCGCGCTGACACAACTGCCACAGAGGTTTATCGCCACGCTCGGCCTCTGGGGGCCCGTGCCAGGCCCCAGGACGGCTCAAAATCGACTCAGGATCGAAAGCCAGGCTTGAGGAAAGGGCGGTGAACAAAATCAAGAACAGGCAGAGCACAAAATCAAAAACAGGCAGTGCACAGAACAGGGCTCGATTCCCAGAGACCAGGCAGTGAACAAAATCAAGACGTCGGATCTCTGGGACCATCGCCAGCGGGCCACCTGCGGCGAGGAGGTCCACGATGCCTCCCCGACCCAGAGGCGGGCTCGAGCGGGGCGCCGCCTAGCGGAGGGGGGCGCACCGCTGGGAGGGCTTTCCTCGGCTCCTCGCGCGGGTGGTGTCATGGCGCCAACATCGCAGAGCGGATTTTGTTCGGACGACGAAAGGATGGGCCCGGAGTGTCCTGGAGAATTTCGTTTCGGATTTCGAGGTGGATTTCGTGCGGATTTTCTTGTTGGTCAGGAATGAAGGGTAAAGGAAATCCACGTGAAATTCACGTCGTTTTTCGCTCGCCATTTCGGGGTTTTGCATTGACAGAAACCCACTGAAAATCCGCTGCAGCTCGTCTGCAACGTCGGTGCATTGAGTGGTGTCGCCCCTCCCTGCTCCTAACCAAAGGCCAGGCCTTCCAGGCCGTTGCTGCTGATCGAAGGCTCCGAGCAGTCGGCACGAAGATCGAGGCCCGGGGATCGAGGCTGTCTGGCGCTCTTCGCCTTCTCGGGGGCTTCGGGAGGCCCCTCGTCACCGCGGCTGGGCCAGTCTTGAAAAGTCTCGCCACAGCGCGCGCCCCAGGCGAGGCCTGAGGGCAATCAAACGTTTCCCAGAGGCACCATGGAGAAGAGCTGGCCCTGGGGGGGAAGAATCGAGGAAGAAAAAACGACACAAACATGAAATGTTGGCGCTCCGCGCGGATTTCTTGGATCGGCGCCTGGGGCCCCCTGGCGGCGCCTCCGGCGCCGCCCCTGGCGCGCTCCGCGCGCCGGGGAGGGAGGTCCAGCGCGGATCCAAGAAATCCGCGCGGAGCGCCAAAAGTTTGTGTTTATGGCGTTTCTTCTTCTTCTTCTTCTTCCAAAGAAGTCCTGGAGTTGTTCGGCGTTTTCGGGCTCCGGGACCATTCCTGGGCCTCGAGACCATCAAAGCACGATTCAGGATAGACAGGTGGTCCAGGGGGGACTTGCTTTCGCCAGGACCACTTTACCTCATGCCATGACCAGGGGTGCCTCATTTTGGTGCTCTGGGCCTCTCTCTGGGCCTCTCGAGGCCTCCACGAACGCTTCTGAGGTCCACGCCCTGACCTCGCAACGAGCTCGCGACAGCCAGCTTGCACCGTCCCTGGGCCTCTGGAGGAGCCCGCTTCGGGCCCCGGGGGCCGCGGAAAAGCAGCCCAGGACGGAGAACCGGCACGGGTGAAGAGCCGGGAGGGGGCCCACGCCACAAGAATCGCCACCTCGGATTTCTGGGGGTCGGATGGTCTGGAAGCTTGGTGCCCTCTCCCCGTCCGCCCTCCCTCCGCGGCCGCCCTCTGTCCCCCCCCGCTCCTCGCGCTGCCGGACAATTCGTATGCTTCGCCCCGGCCACGAGAGCGCGCGAGCGGGTTGCCTCTGCCGCGCCGCGACGGGGAAATCTGGGGCGGCCAGGAGGGAAATGATGACTATGGGGGGGGGGGATGTCATGGCGGGGGCCATGATACCTCCCCAGATGTCATGGCGCTTCTTCTTATTTTTGAATACGTCCCCGGTCCACCCCTGGGCCGCGCACATGCTGCCGGCCATGGTTTGCGAACCCCCCTCTTGGATGCCCCCCTGTTCGACGCCCCCGAGAAGAAGGTTTCGTAGGTTCCGAGTGCTGTCCGGCATCCGAGGCCCGAGTTTGGGCCCCTCGTGGCCACGGCTGGAAGCAGCTCGAGCACCGGGCCATTGTGCTGCCAGGGAGGGAGGGGTCAGGGGATCGATTGCAACGGCCAGGCCCCGCGTGAGCTGCTGGGCTGAAACGCATAGAGCATGCCATGTTCATTGACCTGTCGATTTCGGCGTTTGGGCGCATGTCCTGCTTCTGGAGTCTTCAGGAAGCACTCCTTGCCAGATCATTGGCCCCAGGGTGTTATCGAGAGACCTCTGGAGCCCCCGCCGCGAGAAACTCCTGACCATGGAGGTTCGGAAAAGGGGGCACAGTGGACAAGGAGAGGAGGGGGAGGACCAGGGGGGAGGAGCGGGGAAGGGGGTGGCGGTAATAATCACGATACTTGTTGTATTATTTATGATAGTGATAATAATCATGAGGATGAGGATGAGGATGAGGATGAGGATGTTGATGATGCTGATGATGATGCTGAAGGCGATGGTAATGCTGATCGTGATTCTGATTAGGATGATGAGTATTATGATGCTGTTGATGATGGTGATGGTGGTGGTGATGTCGACGACGAGGATGATGATGATGATGATGATGATGATGATGATGATGATGATGATGATGATGATGAGGATGATGATGATGATGCTCATGCTGATGCTGCTGATGATGATGATGATGATGGTGTAGCTGATGGTGATGATGACGATGATGATGGCGATGATGATGATAGTTACAGATGACGATGGTGATGATGATGATGATGATGATGATGATGATGATGATGATGACGGTGGTGGTGGTGATGGTGGCGATGATGAGGGTGGTGAAGTTGATGGTGATGACGAGAGCGGTGCTGATGGTTATGATGATGACGACGATGATGATGCTGTTGTTGATGATGATAATGGTGGTGGTGATAATTATGCTTGCGATAGCGAGCGTGGTATCGATGAGGAGGAGCATAAACGATAAACCAGATGATGAGGATGGTGCTTATGAGTACGATGATGGTATTGATGATGCCGGGGATAAAGCCGTTTCGGAGGGTGATCGTGAGGAGAAGTAGGAGGAGGATGATAAGACGGACAATTATGATCAGGAGGAGGGGAATAATATATGATA